AGTAGTAGTAGTAGTAGTGGTAGTGGTAGCAGTGGTAGTAGTGGTAGTAGTGGTAGTAGTGGTAGTAGTGGTAGTAGTGGTAGTAGTGGTAGTAGTGGTAGTAGTGGTAGTAGTGGTAGTAGTGGTCGTCGTCGTGGTGGTGGTGGTAGTAGTACCACTACTACCACCACCACCACGACGACGACGACGACTACTTCTTCTGCTACTACGACGACTACGACTACGACTACGACTACGACTACGACTACGACTACGACTACGACTACGACGACGACGACGACGACGACGACTACGACTACGACATACTACGACTACAGCTACGACTACGACTACAGCTACGACTACGACTACGACTGCGACTGCGACTGCGACTGCTACGACTACGACTCCCAAACTGCTCCAAGACGTCCTTGTCAAGTGGAAAGAGAGGGGTGGTGGGGAGGGTGCGGGGGGGGGAGGGGGCGGAGGGAGCCTAGCAAGGCCATAAACGTGGTGAGGGGGCGGGGAGAGCCCATGCTTTCAATTGGAAAAGGGGGGTAGGTGATGGCGGTGGTGAGGGGGGGAGGGGGGAGGGCGGCGGGAGCCTATCCAGGGCAAAAAAAGAAGCGCACCAGAGGCCACACAAAACCCAGATCCCGCCAACCACGGCTCGAAGAATCCCTCGGGCCAAAAAGGAGCAAGAAGAGCCTTTTCAGGGTTCGAAAAAGGCCTAGTCAGAAAAAAAAATCCGCATGTCCCAGCCTCTGGCACGCGAAGTCGTGGAGTGCGTGCGCACCCTCGCGGGGATAGCTTCCCAGGACGCGCGTCTACAACTGCACGGGCGACCCTGCTCTCCCGGGGTGACAGAGCTGGGACCCGAAGTTTGGCGAGGAGATGCGCTCCCCGTTCGACGCGGTTCTGTGGACTGTTCTGTGGTATCTGGCACGCAGGCACACCCATCGGTCATATTGACCGGGGTCGCAAGCTCGACGAAACAAGCCGCAGCATGCCAGCTGAGCAGCGCGTTCTGCAATATAGGCTTACGTCAATTTACGTCTGCACAAGTTTAATTTTGTGTGTCGCAGAGCAGGCCCTCCTTCGTTGTTTTTTTCTGTCTCCCTCTCGTTCTCTCGCTGTCTATCTCCCTCCAGCTCCCTCTACTTGTATCCCTCTCCCTCTCCCCTCTCCCCTCCCCCTCTTTCATTCTCATTCTCTTCTTTTTTTCTTTCTCTCTCTCTCTCTCTCTGTCTCGGTCTCTCTTTCTTTCCTTGTCCCAAGCACGGCATTGTGCAGGCAGCTGTCACGCAGGGGTGTGTTGAACCATGTTGAACCTGCTTGCGGTTCCGCTGTAGCAGATTGGCTCGGTCTCATAGTGAGAACTCAAAATCGGGCCGTCGAACCCGGCCCTGTGGCAATGAAGCTGCAACCTTCCATGTGGTTGCATGTAGTGGTCCTTGGCAGTGTGGAGGCAGTCACCTCCATGCAGGGCCGGCATTTGGGACATTGGACGTGCCCAGCGGACAAACAGAATTGCCATTGCAAATGTCCTGTGCTTGCATCGACGGCGGCAAGCCTCGCACAGATTGTTGGAGACACCCCTTTGCCGCCATTGCCACCTGCTATGCTTCCACCTTACCCGCCGGCACGCCTGCCGGCAATGCCGACGTACACAAGCATGACGGAGGATGACTTGCCAACATTGGGGCCACCTCCTCCAACGACACCATTGCCCACTCTACCCCCAACTCCACCTCCCATGGCTTATCCATTTTCAGCTAAGTCCCAGGCCAACATGTTGCGCGGCAGCAATGGTGCCATAGATGGGCAGCAAAATTATCATGAATATACCTTTGAACCTCGTAACTCGTACGCAATAGCAACTGCTTCCATCTACTTGGTGCCACTATGGTGTAGGCTGGGGAAAAATCATGACGTAGCCAGTATCCCTGCATGCCGGTCCAGGCAGTGGGTCGTATGGATTGGAAAGCACCTCAACATCTTCTTCACCCGTTGCTGGCCATGACAACAGCAGCCAACAGCAGGACCATGCTGTGGCAACTCGTACCAGCGGACGGTTGGAAGCGCGGGATAAGTTGTGAGCTTTTCGGCAAAAGTGTCAAGGCAACGAATGTGCAGTGCAACCGGTGTCAGTCAGTAGGCAGCCTGTGTGTGCCGAATCTCCAGGATTCCATCAAACCGGCGCTGGTTCAGGAAGCAATCCGCGAGGGAAGTTCATGCAAGTGCCTTTGACGCCTTCAACGGTCATTGACGGTCCACGGCATGCCGTCGTGATAACCAGTTTCACCGTGGCGAGAGATGCTGTCTCCTTAAAGCGTAACCACCCGTTGCTGGGCAAAAAACACATTGTCTCGACACGTTGGTTGAGCTCATGCCTGAGGACAGCAAAGTGACTGTCCACGTTGATGTTGACTTAGCATCGATTCCCTCCTGCTCGGCTCAACGTCTAGGGTCGTTAGAGGGAAATTTCGAGTAACAAGTTTGGACTGCAAGCCTGTGCTACGAGAAAGGCCATTCCTGTGGCGGAATTTAATTAATTCCAGAAGTGATTGTCCATTTTGACTTTGATTGAGGTTTCCTTGCATGATATGGTCGCATTTGTAGCTATAACTGCCTGAACCCGCTTCAACCTGCTCCGATGGACCAAGCACCAGCTCCAATGTACACAGGTATAGATAGCTTGACTTGCGCTTCTTGTTTTGGATGGCTCCTTCAAGAGCCGGACGGCGCAAGAAGGCTCTGCCATGTTTAGCCTAGCGGCCACGTGACTTGCAGCCTCACTGGAGGACTATGACGTGGTCCTGCAGGGAAGCTCTGTCGAGAAGGTTTCTTCAGAAATTGCCTGGCACTGTCGTCACACGATCTCTGCAGCTTGTGGTCCTTCTGGGTTCATGTGCTCAGGTCACACAGCTAGCGGCAAAAGGCTTCTGCACAATCGATCCCAGACTTGATGAAGAGATGCTACGTCAAGCTCGTGAGGACACGAGGGATGTTTGCCAGGTGCCCTTAGAAAAAAGGCAACGAACATTTCCATTCGGCAGCTGGATACTTCGGCGCCCGCTGTGCTGCAGGACATCAGTGATTTGGACGCTCAGGGGATACTGAGGCAGCCGCCAGCCATGGCAACTTGGTTGAAGATCCTAGGTGGAATCATTTGTGTCTTTCCCGCGCCACGTATCACGTCACCAACAGTTGCTGGCAGGGTGAGCGATGTCCCACATGTTACATAAGACTGTGCGGGAGCAGACTTGAAGCGCCCGACCTGAATGGACGTACAGCTATGCTGCAGGGAGAGCAGTTTTACTCGCATCTTGGCGAGGCAAACAACCAAACCGTCTCGCGGCTTTGGCCCTTTCTGTGCCGGTTGGCCGTGGGAGTCAGAACATCTCATCAAATCCTTGCTTGGGACAGTAGGTAGAAAGGCCACCGCGAGTGGAGTCAGGCTAGGGCGATAATCAGTGACGTGATCTTGCAATACTTAAAGCCGAAACTATCACACCGGGTGGAGGCCTCCTCCCGCCATCTTGACAAGAAAGCTGTGCTGAACGCAACACGAAACCACTGCGCCGAAGCCCGGTCGAGGTTCATGATGGTCTTCTCGGCGAAGAAGGCTCCTCTCTCATAGCCGATTTCTTGCAGGACCGTTTGGGCTCGCCTCCGTCCTCCTTATGTTTTTTTGCAAGCTTCGCAGTGAGCCAAATTGGGAAGATGAGATGCTTGCGCTACTTGTATGATGTCGGAACGTGTAGGCCAACGCAGCCGCTGCCTCTGTCACGACCGGTGCTTGTCCACCACCCGGGTCGCCCCAAATTCTGACTACAGCAGGGCCTACACATGTTCGGAGAGATTTGATTTGAAGATCATTGGGGTCTGCTTAATGATGTTGAGCGATCAGAGCATGGAATTGGTTGGACATGTTGCAGTGATCTTGAGAGCAGGCAGGAGGTTGACGGACAAGGCCTGCAGTCACTCCGGTCACAGGACGGTTTGACGGACGACAAGAAGGTCCGTCATCTGCACGCTCTGGACAACGCTATGGCTGAGTTGGTGAATGTCTTGCAGTCCTTGAACAGCAATAGCTTGATTCCTGGATGATATGTTGCATATCCTGGTGCGAGCTGTGCAAGTTCTTGACTTCAAAACCCTTGTCGAATCACATCCGTGGAAGTTCGCATGAATAGGTCTGCACACCAAAGTGCAGCTGCAACAACATTGGCGATTTTGATTTCCTTGGAGACCATGCATCATCAGTTGATTGCCTTTGTTTTATTGCAGTACGACCACCAGAGCCCACTTTTCACACCGGCCATTCATCGCGAGACGATTGCCCTTAGCAGACCCTGTCTATCTCTGCTTGTCTGTGTTGTGCATCACATCCTGTTTAGCAAGGGACAGGCGATACGTCAGTGATGTTCCTTTTTCAACCCATGCCAGTGGATGGCGACCCAACGAAGAGGTCCACTGAGCATGCTGATAAAGGGCCTTACCAGCTCCACGTGCCTGCAATCTATCGCGCGGAGCCAAGCCAAGAACCTCAAACAGAGAGTAACATAACAGACTCTAGCTTCTCTCTCCAGGGACCGGGCATAGCCGCGTGATCTAACGAGATCACTGTGACTATTCCGAAAAAAACCTGCATTCGATCTTCATGATGACGGCTAAGCAACGTTTCTTGATTCATTGTTTCTTGCAGGCCAGAATTGCATCAGCAAGTCTGCTTCTGCTTTGCACCTGTTGTGTATTGTTGTGTTGTTCCTGTCCCCTTCCGCTAACGCCCTTCTCCGGTCGCAGGCTGGGCCTGCGTGCTTCCGCCCCAAGCAATGCTTTTGGCCCTGCGCCGCCCGTGCGCCTCCCGCTACCCATGCATGTGTGCCGGCCGTTGTGGCCCACCCGCATGCGGAGCAGAAGTGGACGCGTTTGGCGACCACGCCCTCGCATGCACTCGCGATCACAGGGCGAAGATCGTGGAGCGCGCGTGGGTGCGAGTGACTAGTAAGATTTTCATGCTTTCCTGTGGCCCGAACAGGTCGCTTCCTTCTCGTAACGACCAGACTTGCATCATGGCTGAAATTTCTCCAGGTCGAGCCATTACTCCAAATCAATCTTCTTCGGATTCATCGCGGCATTCGGCTTTTGACACGCCATCGCCGCAGACGGCTCCGAAATGTTCCGAAATTTTGAGAGAGACCGATCAAACAGTCCAACAAAGAAATCCAAAAAGTTTGTCTGCCTCCAGAGTGTGTTGTTGGGTGTGTGCAGATGGATTCGGTTTAGTACAGTGGGTTCGCCGGGTGTGCTCCCAGCGCGGAGCGTACCATCCATTCGCAGCGCAGTGCCGAAATCAATTGTACCCCGAGGCTGTCCATCCACGACCTCGGCTGCGGCAATTTGAGCAGGACGCACCCTATTCTGCATGAGACTGGACTTGCACCGGAGCATGCGCCCGAGCCCACGGAGCACGAAGCCAGTGGCTTGAGCATAATTTGTAGTCAATCTTGCTTTTGTGCTTGCAAGACGTGTTCGATAGCAGAGTGCTGAGGCTACTGGCTGGGTGCCTTGGCAAATCTGGAGTAGTCTATGCCCTTGCGTGGATTGAATTCACAGATGTTCAGAGACATGTAGTGCTGAGGAGTTTTGGGCCAGAAGAAGCTGATGGTCATGCTCTGTCTTGGCCCTGTCCGGGGGACCTTGGAACTACAACCGTACGATGAAGATGCCGAAGCGCACGAGATCTCGACCGTGCCAGGACTGCGACTTCCAAGTCGGTTCTCAGTTCTGAGCGTTTGCTGTTGCACGTCAGCTTTACGATTCGGAGGATCTGTTATAATCCTTCGTGCTGATGGTATGTGGCATCGACACTGCGCACACTCAAAGGCGCATATCTTGAGCTGCTTTCTGGTCGGGCAAGATTCCGGAGGCACGAAGCGGACGGGGCAGCCTTCTTGGGTGCCTCCATGCGCCCGTGGTTTGGAGCAGTGGACTGTGGAGCGGATGAGATATTTGAAGGAAGTCCAATCAAAGGCACCAAAGGAGAAGCTTGACCTACCGGTTGGCTGGTTGACAGCCATGAACCACATGTTTCACACCGCACAGCGCGTTGCTGTAAGATCTATTGCTGCGAGATATGCAAGCACATGGGATGTGCAATCCTGGTACATGTCGCAAACGGCCGGCCCCGACTTTGTTTCGGAAGTACCGCTGACACGGTGGGACGTGAATATGTACTACGATGCCGACGACTCTCATCAGCTCTTGCTCAATTTTTGTTTTGCTTCAAGGTGCATTTATGATCTCACTTGAGTGGTGAATTCTCGTGGTCAGGTTGAGAACTGGCGAGCTTACAAGACTATCTCTCGACACGGGTCTTTCGTGGATGGAACAGAATATTTTGACAACAAGTTTTTTGGCCTGTCGCCGATGGAAGCAAAGGCAGGAACTGCATGGCTTGTGACGGGTTGTGCTATCGTCTCCAGCCATTTCTTAAAACATCCTGCTCAGGGAATGGATCCCCACCAGCGTGTGGTCCTGGAGGTTGGTTACGAGGCTTGCCACGGGGCCGGCTACAGCAAGGGGAAGTTGATGAACAAGATCGGCTCGAAACCAAGCATGCGTTCCTGGTCACCCTCCCCCCAACTACTGCACATGACATCCGCAACGTTTAAGGCGGTGTCTACTTGGGAAGCAGCGCGCGCCTTGTTTGCGTTAACTGATAGGCAGATGTGGAAACAGCATGGCTGGAACTGTGTCCATCTCACCGGTTCCTGCTGTCTGGACATGGGTAGCATGGAGTCTTCCATGTCTTGAAGGACAATTTTTGGCATGGTGTCAGAAGTCAGCGGAGCGACTGGTGGTGCTGCGAGTATCAACTCGAATCGCTTCAGTTTCTGTTGCCTGGCAGCCTTTCCTATAGAGTTTCGACATGTGCATGACATGTTGAAAACAGCACACAGCGCGCATGCAGAGGAAATTAGGATGGCCAGTTGCTCCGCGGCTGGAGCAATGCGAACAAACGGTTTTCACAACAGACAGCACAGTGCGAGGAGTGGACGAGTGGGGCCTGGCAGGAAGCCTGGAGACCAAATCTCATCAAGAGCCATCTTCCGGTTTCACATTGCAAAGTTACCAACTCACCAAGACCCAATCTTCCCAATCATTGCAATTTTGGGGCCGAAACTTCACAAGCAACCCCGGCGGTAGCCAACCAGACTACCCGCACGAAGTCTTGGCACCGATTAAAATGTTTGCGCCAGGTTTGGGCCTCAAAGGCCCCAGTATGACCTGCGATACGGACGGCTCATCGTCCCTAACTGCAATTCATCTCGGCGGCGAAGCAGTCCTTCAAAAGGGCCATGGTGTCAGCAACGAGCCACTTGACTGCCCTTACCCCCAACATAGCAGGTTGCGAAGACTAGATTCGGCGGTTCAGATTAAGAGGCAAGGCCCTGTTTCGATCTTTCCCGATCGCGAGACTGCACGTGACTTCGAGCTGAATCGTTGTCTCTGAACATGACAACGTCACACATCCGTATTCTTGTGCGTCTACAGATGAGGTTCTCCTTAGCAGGAGGAGTTGCGTTTCAACTCGGGCCACTGTGGCTGCCGCAGATGCAAGCTGCCGGGCTGCTGGCAGGCCGTCGAAGGGAGGAGTTCTTCTGAGAAGGCGATGAATGCTTATTGGCTTATTGGTTCTTGTGCAGGCATCGGTCGGTGCTTCACCTGGGATGCAAGCGCTGCCCCCAGATGCTGCTATCGCGATCCGAAGCATCACTTGCAGAAACGCTTGGAAAGTTGAGGTGCGCAAGGATACACACTTGGCGACTCAGCTCCACTTGAGATCCGTGAGAAAACGATCTCAGCGCGCGACAGAGACCGCTCCTCAGGCGATGGCTGCGGCTTCGCTGTGCAGAAGCGGATGGCCGAGTGGGTGGATGGAAGGCAAGTTTACATCGAAGGGGAGCCCCTCGTGTCCGCCTCAGAATCCTCAAGTTGGCATGCTCAAAAAACTGCGCTACAGTGTACGGCAGCTCCAAAATGCTCCAAGGTTGGAAGCATTTGCGGAAGCTCTTGCGGGAGCGTGGGGATGGCAGCAGCGATGCATGCCCCACACGGACCCTCGGAGCAGGAGAACATTGCACAAGCGCTGCAGACAGAAGCTTGGCACATGTTCCAACAGATATGTCAAAGTACGTGTCACCCGATAGCCAGCTGACCGCGAAGACTCATCCAGGCAATGCTAGATGCGCTGAACATTGATGCCGTGGAATGCAATGGCCAGGGAGCTTTGCTTCGATCCTTGCTTGCATCAGGGCGCGGATAGCTGTAGAGTGCCACCCCTCGCAACTTACGAGCACGGCCGCATCAAGGCCCATTGTGCTAAGCTCTTCTTGCCTCCCTGCTCCCTTCCAATGAAAACAGGAGTCTTTGTCTTAGATTGAGGTTCGTGTTGTTGCTTCAGGCTGTTTCAGGTTCAAGGAAAGGCATCTTACATTCTTGGAGTAGCCGAATGAGGGCCCAGTGGTTCACAAGCATCCTCCTGGCCCTGGAGCTTCATCCCTTGTCTAGTTCACCCTCCGAACGTTGAGGAGAGGCTGCCTGCCGCACGCAGCCTCGTGCTTCTTTCTTGTCTTATTCAGACAAACAAAAGTACCGAACCTGGATGCACAAGTTTATGTTCGACACACTGCCGTCTGAGGAGATGCTGTCGAAGTCGACTCCCTGTTACGCGTGCTGCGTGGCGATGATGTTCAGGCTACCGTGGTGAGTTGGGGAGTTGGCAGACCTGTGCAGTAGCCTGACGGTCATATGTGTTTCCTTCCGTACGGGACGAGAGGGAGGTTGCCGTATGTTGTGAAGGTAGTAGTGAAGTGCGACCAAAAGTAACATCTAAGTCTCGAACTTCCTCCGTCTTGCCCGCCGCAAATGTTGCCATGGTCGCTGCGCAAGTCGGACAGACTTAGGGTTTTCGGAAACTTTGCATTCTTCACAGGCTCCGCTGACCCTCACGTCAGTGAAGAGCCGCATGGGCTTCGCGACAGAGTGTGCTGGCATTGCCGCACTGCATCGTCTTCTATTGTCTGCTGTTTGGGGCGTCATTTCTCCAAACAACCATCTCCAGCAACTGAATCCTCATCTGGAGTTCGAGAACAAAGCCGGGATGCTGACAGCATCTTGGCTGAATGTTGATGCCAGGCTTGTTCCCGTTGCATTTCTTCAGTGGCGAACACGGTGCGAGCAAAGGAGCCGCAGGAAACAGCGCTGCGCAGTACATATATGGGCGTGTCGGCTCATGGCTTTGGTGGCACGCAGGTCCACGTAATTTCCTATGGCCACAGTCAACAGATCAGGACCTTGTTCCAACATCTGTCTCTTGTCCTCGAGTGTTCATTTCGGATCCTTTGTCCGTTAGGACGGTACCGCAGCCGGAGCGCAATCGCAACGTTTTCAACTTCTGGCCCGGTGGCGGAGGTGAACTTGAAGAGGAAGTCCTTTCACGTGACGGTGCAGGGAAGCGTTGGCATGTTCTTGTGATGCGCCTTAGCGTGCTATACAAGGCTGCGCATATATTTTCAGGAGCAGCAACCATTGCGCGGCTATTTCATTGCGGGGACTTGGACAAAGTGGAGGGCCATCAAAATGGAGAGTGAAGGTTGGACTTTGTTTACAGGCTGTTTCGTTTGAGTATCCGTTCCATGACAGGTGATGAGACCTATGGATACACTCTTGTCCTTGGAGAGAATCGCTGGGAAGAGTCCCGGTCTTACTTGCTCTTGACTTTGTGATGGGCGGTGCTGCGGCTGTGTAACGACAAGAAAGTAAGAGCACGAAAGACCTTCCAAACCTTTCCGCATGATGCCGTAGATGCATCAGTAGGAAGCAATGTGGGCTGATGGACCAACGGACATCCCATTAACCTGAGCAGCGGTTTTTCTGTTCTTTTCCACGACGACGCAACATTTCCAAGAAGCATGACATGGCAACCCAACAACGCTCACTGCTCGTTTGCCCTGGACATTCTTTGGCCGAGCACTTGACACAGCCGGCGTTCATAAAGCACATTCTCCAGGACTCTCTCGCAGACATCTGCCACCATTTGCCATCAGTTGCCATTTGCTTCGCTGGACGCGAGGTTTCAGATTCTCCTTGATGGTGCCCTGGCAATTCCTCTGTCGGACTGGACTTCCGTTGCGTTGTGAAGTAGAGCCGCAGTTGACCCTACGTTATCCTAGATTCCAGGGCCGCAAGCCAGCAAGTGCATCTTGTGGAGAAGGCTGGCCAAGTTCGGCCCTGTGCAAGCTAAGGTGACGAGAGAAGGAGCGGCAAAGTTTTGGATTTGTCTGGGCTGTATTTATTTCTTGTTTTCCTATGTGAGTGATGTGCTCCGGTCTTCTATGCACTACACGATTGGCTATAACTGTACTTATGAGTGGAGGTCCCTGGAACCGGTGTGGGCAGCGCGGGCAGTCCTCTTCCGAGAATTAGCACATCATAGGGGGAAGACTCCAAGAACAGAAGGAAGCAGGCCCTGACGACCACAAGCTCGCACGGTTTCGCTTTGCTCCAAGACAAACACGGAAAATCCAGAAATTGTTCTGAACAGGCCCCCCGGACTAGCTGATAGAGTTTGAGATCGTATGTGCGCATTGGCAGCAGTGAGATGAGCAGCAATTAAAGCAGCCAACCATGCAATGGAGGAAGAGCCTACCCCACCCCGCCCTCCTTTGCGCGGGCGGGGGCGCACGGCAGGGAAGTGGGGGCAGCGGGCCGGCCGCCGCCCGCACTCCCGACTCTGGGTTCCACTCACACTCGCGCTCTCTTTTTTTTGCCGTATTTATTTCGCAGCAAACGATGCGAGCGGGACCCCATGAATGTGAGCGGGAGGGATGATTTTTCAGGCTCACACCTTCTCTCGCACTCAAGCTCACACTCTACTTATAGGATCCTTAAGGGAGGGTGGCTCAAGCGGGGAGGGTCCTACTCGTAGGGAGCTTTAGGGAACCTAAGGGAGTACTAGGGAGAATTGGGGATTACTGGGTTATATACCCCCCCCACCCCCTCCCTTAAGGATTCCATAATCTGCTTCCTTGATTCCAGAGCTTACAAGGAAGCTCCAGTCATAAGGCTTTGCAATATAAGCACCCAGTGTAAAATGGCTTCCTTCGCTCACGTTCAGTTCGGTCATCGGCAGGAGGCTTCATCCTGCGAAACCTCTAGCTTCGAAGGGTTTGGTCGTCCACGGGCCATCTGGAAAGGCAAGGGAAATGCGTCATTGGATGAGCTGGGTTTCTCTCATGCCGAGACTCCAAGCTTGAGAGGCCCGTGGGTTGAACTGGAGGATAGAAGGTTGCTGGCTTAGACCTTGTGGTGCGAAACTCGTGGGAACTGACAGACTTGGTAGTGAACGTGAGGTCGTGGTCGATGGGTGGACGTGCCAACAGATGCCGCTGCAGCGGTTGTGCTTGGTGATGCTGAGAAGACTTCCAAAGCAATCCAAGCAGCTGAGCTACACGTGACGAAGCGATAGCCGGTTCAAGCACATGAGTGGTCGTGTTTTGCTTCGGTGCCTTCACCGTTCGCCATGACAGTTGGCCAGTAGCTCTGTGGTGGAAGCCTATTTCTGTTGGGTGTTGTGCGGCACTTCACCAGAAGCATGCTAGATGCCGGGTATATCCATAGCCCATAGTGACGGGCACCGTGTTCAGAAATGTATCAGAATGGCCTCACGATGTGTTCACGGTAATTATGCCGGAAAAGTCTGTTGCATGAGTTTCTTGGTGCGATTGGTGAGCTATGCTGACAACAATTCCCCGGCCCGGCAGCGTTGGACAATTGACTGAGGGTCGTCCGAAATCGTGGGGCCAGCCGGGTGGCGCCCAAAAGGTTCTGCAATGCTGCGAGAACGTTGTATAATAGAAGTGAGACAAAGGAAGACTTCTTCGTGAGAGTCTACTGGATACTGGCTCTTTTTTCGTGGGTGAGCGGGCTGCAGGCATGTGTGCCGCAAGCACGTGTCCCAAGGCAATTACCAGCAGCCTGTCTGACGGGTCATGGGCCCAGACTGGCTTGAGCTTTACAGGCAGCCACAAGCCTGACTTCGGCCGAGGTCAACTCAAGCGGGTGAGCTCCAACTGATGGAAGTCGGAAGTGGGGATGTTGGCATGCCCGGGGACAAGTATCGCATCAGGCTTCGGATTGCTGGGAAATACAGATTCTTGGCCTCTGAAAAGCAAGAGCACCTCAGAATGTTATCCAACGCTGGGCCCAGTGAGGAACGGTTCTGTGGGACAAGCTTCCCACAGAAGACTATGATACAGCAGCGGATGCACCCGAGGGCACTTAGCCCAGCAGACGTGACGTTGTCCGGCAGTGAGGGTCCGACCGTATGCACCGACCCAGGTGACTACCACATTGTTGGGAGCTGGAATGGCTGGTCCCCTGATCCATTGTTTCTTCGAAACGAGATCTGGTCTACGGAGGCCTATGCCCCCTGGGAAGTCCGCCGTCTTGAGCCGGCCCAAGATGTGATAGCAGAGTGTTCTGGCGAACTTCGCGAGCATCGACATGGCACTGCCTGCAGATTTCCTGTGGCCTAACGGTGTGTAGGCAGCGGATCAGACGACTCCGAAGCTCGCCACACCTGTCCCTGTAGCATCTTTCCAACTCAACGCAAAACCATCTTGCACCAGCGGCCTTGTGAACTCAGAACCGGCGACGACAGGTGGAGTTGACAAAGAAAGGAGGCGACTTCCAGATATTGCGGAATGAGGACGTTGTTTGCACCATGGATCTCCCAAGTCGCCCGAGTCAAAACGTAAAGCGGCCTACGTGAGCGACGTGAAGGAGTGTTGAAGCTTGTTGGTAGCTGAGCTTTCGATCTTAAGCAGGCTGGTTCGACTGCTTCTGTCTATACTCACTGTTTTTTTGCAAAGGGGTGTCGCTCGAATTGGGGCAGAGCCATCGGTGAAGATGAGCCATAAGATCTGCAGCACTCCTTTTTTCCAAGCAGGACTGGGGTCAGATGATCGCTCCACCGCGCGAAAAGGCCAGTCCTTCCGATGCTGGTCAAGGCTTCTTGGGAAGTTGAAAGCAGAAATCTCAACAAAAATGCGAGTGTGGTGACATCCAGGACCGGATCGCTGCGGCCGCTTCCGGGGCTGTGCTTGGAGTTTAGACGGGCAGCCTGGGGACGTTTTCCGGATAGCGTCATCGTCTCAGTCCGACTTCGGCTGCACGCAGAGGTACATGACAATGTTGCTGTTACGATGCAAGGTTCAAGCGCCAGTTGATCAAGGATTCCTCTGGCGACCCTTCTATAATCGATTTCTATTGCAAGACCTAGCAGGGAGCGGGAGCGAGGCAGAGTTGTGGGCCTCAGGTAGACTGGACGATGTAAAGCAGGTCTCCTGGGAGAAGTTGCGGGAGGCTCCGGCCTGCGCCTAGGGATAGAAAACTCTGCCACAGCCTGGAACATTAGGCTGGCCCTTCCGAGACGCTGTCTCTCAAACATCAAAGCGGCACTCTTGGGGTCATTGGTTCGTGGCCACGTTCTCGGCTATCTCTCATACAGTGCTAGCATCATCTGCTGCTCATGACACTCATTCGATGGCACGGGTAACGCGCACGAGCCTGCAAGGAATGGGTTTGGCAGAGTGCACAAGATGCACGCAGAGATTATGGATGGACAAGTTGCATCTTGGCTGGTGCCGCATCGTCGTCGACAGGTGTTGCATGCCCACTCAAGCTGTGCTATGCTGTGCTGGTTGTTGACACCCCTGTTCCCACAAGTTGGTGATGCGGACGTCCTGATTCTGTAATCTCGACCACCCGTGGCCTCAGCCTGGGCCTGTCATGCGCTGGCCGAGCTAAGGCGTATGTCTTCTACTTTGAACTTGGTCAAAGCGGTGCTGAAGGTTTTCAGTTTGTCAACGATTCCGATTTGACGAGATGCCTGGCTGCAAATAGCACAGGTGCTGACACCGGCTGGCTCTCCATGAGAAGCCAGGAGTTATCCATCCCGACCGTCTGGTGGCTCAATCAGGCCATTCCAGGGGTGCACGCAAAAAGGCGCTTGACTCGCTGCTTGCCAGAAAGGGTGGATTGTTAAGGGAGGAGCGAGACATCTCGTGCCCCAAAAGGCGGTCCCTTGGCTTTTTCCGGCTATGTACACGGCTCCGCACAGAGAGTACTAACGCCATGCAGGGGCAGGCCCACAACCCAGCCCAGCTCTGCCAACGCCCGCCAGTGTTGAGCGGATGGCATGTGTAGACCCCTGAGCCAAGTCACGAAAGCTAGCAGCTAGCGCAGCGAGGCTTTCGTTTCTATCTGCGTTAGCAGTGGCCACATGATTGGATATATCGAGCATACCCCTCTCCCCCTCACTCTATTGCTGAGTTGTTGATGTGGTTGGATGTGCTGGAGGTGATGGTGCCTTTCTGTTTCCCCTACTGATGCGGTTCGGATTCTGGTTGCATGTGAGGCTGCCTGGAGCTTTGTCTCCCCTCCGATGCTGATGGACGCGTTGTGATGATGCTTGGAGCCAGCCTCGCCAGCTCTGTTTCGCTTGCCGGCCCCACCCCTCAAATGGAGAAGGCCCACGAAGCTCTCAGAACCTGCCAGACATTGATCCGCACGGGCCCCAATGAATCCACCACCACCGAGCTTTGCACACCTCGTGAGAGCGGTGTCCCAGCAACCCTGCGCATACCGTGATGCCGCCACACCATGTGTCCTTTCGCTTGATGAAACAGTTCTGCCAGTCATGTAAGTGCAAAGCAGGTTTTCCATCAGAGATTGCGGTTCATTGCTGCACATAGCGAGTTGGTGTGCTTCTGTGGCCAGCTGTCAGACTGGCAACAGGATCAACTGGTCGCGAGTCGTGGCTTAGTCGGCTGTTCTGCGGATCGTTTCTGGGCACTCCTACACCCGAGTCCGATTTCCGGTCGCTCCAGTCAACTGCTTTTCCGTTCGGGCCGGGCTCCCCCACGCATGCGAAACTAAACTGCGATTGGTTCCCAAGATGGGCTTCGTTGCTGTGGTTTTCTGGAGACCGCCTTAGTGCCTGCTCCTGCTCGGCTTGCTGTGCCCACAGTCCCTGCGTTTGCTGTCCTTGACATGCCGATCCTCGGATTGATCATTTCGGCACTGTTTGGGCCCTTCCCGTGCGTGTCCTGCAGTGGCCGCAGCCTGCAACGCCTGCAAGCGGTGCAGTCCCCGCTTCAGTGCCACATCGATGGAGAGGCGTCAATGCATTCCAGATGTTTCAGTATCAAGCGGCCCGCTGCTGCTGACGGGCCAGGTCAAAACTTGCTTAAGTGTTTAAAGTTTAGGGTGCCTGGCGCGGTGGCCAAAGGGACAGTTGTGCAGCCATACCGACGAGGTTTGAAGCAAGCACGGGAGCTTCTTGCTTCTGACACACGGGCAGGCAATAGACAGCATTCGAGGAAAGACAAGAGGAACTGAAGGCAGACAGGTGCAGACCAGAGGTTGCCTATACTTACGGGAATGCAAGAGCGAAGATCTGGGTTGCCACGGCACGGGATACCCGGTCCTTTGGGCATCTTTGGGCGACAAGTTGAAGCTTCCACTGCTGTTGCGAGGCGGTGTGCACAGGGCCGTGGTGTCCTCGATTGGCCACATTGAGCAGGACAAAGTCCAGAACTTAGCAGCAGCTGCGGCTGGGATGATTTTTCATTATCTGTAGATTCACTGTAGATTTAGTCCCCCTGGATATGTTGGGTTCTGAGGTTTGGGCAGCCGGCTTGGACGGTGGTTCACCTGGTGACGTCTTCAAAGTCGACGTCCTGGCAGTAGGCCACTATCCCCCATTCATTGAGCGACAGCAAAGTACTACCACTGAACACATGCCGTTGAGATATTGTTTTCGCAGAAGAAGCATGCAGCATCTTAACTACTGGGTAGGAGTATGATTCATTGTTGATGTGGCATCGTCACTAGTTCTTCGTTTCAGAGCGTGGCTTGGCAAGTGCACAAGCGATTGAAACGGTCTGGCACACGCAGCCAAGGTGACGTCGTCACCCGCGTTACCTGGAGTCAAGTGAGCGATGGTGCTGTACCAAGGGACCGCGAGATCTGTGGGCCGCTGTGACGTGCGACGCCAAAATTTCGGGCCTGGGCTGAGTGATTCCGCTTGTGTTTATGTACAGAGTGCCCCCACTTCCCAGCCCTTCCATACACGTCTTCCCCACAGTTGTGCCGCTTCTGACTATTGGAAAAAGTTGCGAGATTTGATGTCCAGCCACGGTGTTCGAGCAACATGCGTAAACGTTTGCAGTTCACCGCTTCTGACGGCTGAAGCAAAAGACGAATCATTGATCTGAGCTTATGGAATCTCGCAGCAGAAGTGGCTCGGTTTCAGGGAGGGCGGCGTCGGCTTGCCACACTGGCTCTCTGCAGCCTTCGGAGTGGAGGCCTGGATTGGGTGTACTTTTGTACGGCTAATTTGAATGGTCAGTGCCTCACCAAAGCCGAAGCAAAAATCGGCTGGTGTACGTGGCTGTAAAGCTCCCACACCTATTTGTAAAGACATTGAGGACTTTCCAGTGATCGTCCAGGGAACTTTGTTTCAACTCAAAGTGCAAACCAGCCAAGCCAAGCTCGAAGCAAATCGAGTTCAGCTTCGCACGCTGTTCAGGAGGGTTTATTAACAGGGATGCAGTTCCTTCTCGTCCGACGCCGTGGCGTGCTACCAAGGCTGAACCTCCAAGCGCACCGCGCCAAACTGTCACGACATGAAGAGAAGTTTCGATGCCTACGGACCTGCAGGAGGCGCAACCTGCTCACGTACAAGTCTCATGCCATAATGCTGGCTCATAGGATGTTGCAGGCGACAAATGTTGTTTTAGATGTCACAGGGCATTTGCAGGACACGTTCCACTGCAACCTGCTTTTTGGTCATTGACGCGGTCGGGGAATGAGAGCCGAGCTGGTCGACTGCAGGAGCTCCAAAGTTTGCGCGCTCTGGCCCAGTTGTGGCGCTGAAGATGCTGGTGTCACCGAAAGAAGCAGGCACTTTGATCGGCAAAGGCCTGCTCGGTATTGCCGCATGTTGCAGCGAGATGCCCTGTGCGGCTTTGGCAGGTGGTATGACGCAGAAGCAGATCTCCGATATCACAGGGTGCAAACTTCATCTCAGCGGCATGAATGAGCTGTACCCCGGAACTCAGATGCAAGAGGCCTCCTGCCAGCACGTAGCCGAAGCTGTTTCGTTGAATCGGCCGAGATGAGAAAGCAAAAGGCAAAGTTCGGAAACGGGTCCTCATCGCAGCCTCATCGGTCCACCAATCCTTTTGTGCTTTTCCTTCGGGGTCGTGTGCTGTCATGTGACGGGGAGGGTACTGGGGATCCAGTGCAGCACCACGCCAACCGGAGCCAGCAGGGCATCAGGGCACTCCTTTCAGAGGCATCGAGAGAATAGCAAGCGATCAGCTGTGAGTAGTCGGGCACGCCGCACAATCAGCTACGAACCATGCGGAGCACGTGGCAAGAAATCAATTAACCGGGAAAGTTACCAGCAGCTACCTTGAGCCTTCTGACCTTCCGAAAAAAGTAAAATCGCTTGGCATGCTTCCGACGGCAGGCAGCCTCAGTTTGCTTCATGTGAACGGGCGACCCGGCCCAAGCGCAGGTTTGTGTGCGAGCTGAGCATCCTGACGCCGTGTCGAACGGAGTCTTGCAGATCCTCTCGAAGCTGTCGGAAGAGACAGGCAAAGTCATGGGTGGTGAGTGGGAGGTCGAAGATGGCGGCGCACGAGCTGCTTGCTTTGCACATGAAAGAGCTCTGTGATGCAAGTTCTGTGCTTCTGTGCAGCCCAGGTGCATTTCATCGTGCCGACTAGTGCAGCCAGGAACATTATCGGCAAAGGCCAGCACACGACAAGTAGGCAGCTTGCGATGACCATGGCGGGCATCAGAACCAGGTGGAGAGTACATCAAAGGACTACGGCAGGCATCTGGAATGAAGGCCTTGAGCCAAGTCGGGTTAAAGTTAGTTAAGATTTCTGCCGCAGTCTCAAGCGCGCGTGCGTGCATGCGTGAGTGAGTGAGTAGGTACGTAAGTAAGTAACCAAGTAAGTGAGAGAGCAAGCAAGTAATTAAGTGAGTGCTTAAGTAAGTGCGTGCGTAAGCACCTCAGTATTTAAGACGTGCATGGTGTAAACTCGCGGTTTATGACAGAACAGGTTCAGGGAGGCTTTGGAGACCGAGTTGCTGTTGCATCGCTTGCAGCATGCCCAGAGATGTCGGCAGGTCGCAGGTACAAGGTTACCCTTGGTTTTGCAGACAGTCCAGCCTTGCATGCATGCACGTTTGCCGCAGTCAGTTTCATGTTGAGCACAACAGACACTCGAGCATTCGCCAGCAAGCAGGAACATCCAGCATTTCGCAACTGACTAAAGCGAATCATGAGTACGCCCGTAAGCCCAGCTTGTTGAGATTGTGTTTGTGGACTGTGGACAACCTGATTGCAAAATCACGTGCGCTCTCGGAGAAAATGCTCCAGTTTGCGATAATATCCGATCATGGCTCAAACGACATGCTCTAAGAACAGTGATCCGTCATTCAAGAGCGTCTGAGCGACCAAGAGAGCCGATTGTGTTTTCGGCACGGAACAGATTGATGCATGTATGCGTATGTACACACATACACACAACACACCCACACCTAGATAAATACATACACAGTGGGCGTCTGTGTGGCTGTGAGTTGGGAGAGAAAGCCACCCCTCGAGTGCGTCACGCTTCAGGCCAAACGAACAACATCCAACATACATGACATATTTGTGGGCTGGTGTGGGTGCGCCATGTGGTTGTGGGTGGTGTGGTTGGGCTGGTGGATGATGCAGCCTGTTCCGAGGTGCACATCGAAGAAGTGGTGCTTGGCAACGGGGATGCAGCAGAGCAGGTCATATCTCTGGCTGGTCCCTTGCTAAACATGCAGACGGCCTTGCCCATGATTTTGGAGAAGGCATCCACGCAGAATACTACTGATTGGCTGATTGCTGCTGCTTGGATTGTGGTGTGCCTCATGATCATGTCAAGTCATCCTCGGAGAATGCACGTAGTGATAGCTGGATGGCTCCAGTTCCAGCAGGCGGGGGAGTGAGGCGGCAGCTGGGCGGGTGGGCTTGCTGCCGCGTGCTACATCCGACAGCTGCACACATGCTGTTGCGGTGTTGCGTTTAAGTTTAAGATGCTCAAAGTCCCAATGAACAACCAACGAGCCTTGAACAGTTGTACCTGAACCTCAAGCTGTTTGCACTGTGGGAATCTGTGGAAGAAGACTGGGGTTTATTCACCCTGTAGGGCTACTAGTAGTTCCTGTCCGCGGATTTTGCTTTGCGAGATTCTGGCCAATGCGCCGTCAAAGCTCGGGGGTGGCACTTTTGTTATCTAATCCTTGGTTCGTTTGATATGCAATCTTCTGCGTCCGTGTAGTGTCGCCCTGATTCGAGCTTCTATTTGACTTGGCGTTATGTGTAACCGCAGACCTCGTCTGGCGGAGTCCGAGTTGCGAGAGTGTAAGGACAACCAGCGAAACGCATCAGCATTGTTCCGCGGTCTGCGTCGTGAGTACATTGTAAGCTTGGCTGGGGTGGGGAGCTATCCTAGAAAGACTGAGTTGAAGCTGAATCATCTGTCCCCAAAAGAAGATGACGTCAAGTCCCATCTCCTCTCGGGCCCGTTCTGAAACGGTCCGACGCCTTCTGGATGCTTGTTTGTCGTTAATACAGTCTAGCTGAAACGGCGGTTCGTGGCTCAACTGTCAGCCGAACTTATTTGGAATCCTTCGAAGCGTTCAAAACAAAAAAGCGGAGATAGACTTTTCAAGTGTTCTTCAGGCCAGATTCCGAAATGACCTGCGAACTCGACGAGTCCATCGAATAGGATGAAATTCAAGAAGGTCAGGTTACGTCGTTTTCGCACGCCGCGAAGGATGGCGCCTTTTCGGACAATAGATGGTACCTCCAGAAGTTTAGGTCATTGTGCCAAAGAGGCCCTGACGAGGACAGACTGCAGACATTCGCACCTCCGACACATTCCGCCAGGGCTACTTTTGACGATGTGGGTTGGAATCCGTGCACTTTGTTGACCCATGTTGACCCCTCACGGTATGCTGACAGTCGCACTGAGTCACCTGGCGCTCGGCACTGCGCCTTGTTGGCTTCTTGGTTTTGCTGCGCTTCTTCGTGGCTTCCTGGCTAGGATACCCTTGGACGGGGCTGATGCTCGAACCTGGTTTCGTGGAATTCTTTGCATCAAGGACGGAGGTTGTCGTTGCGGCGAGCCTGCAGCTGACGATGACGACGACGACGAGCAGGATGATGATGATGATGATGATGATGATGATCTCCGGTGTCGGCATTCGTGATGATGCGACGGTCCTAGAACCGTTATCACCATCACGGCCGTCGTTGCTGTCAGCTTCGTGACCATCGCAAGATGATTTGGTTAGCAAGCATGAATTCCAGCAAAGAAATACATGCGCGTGCAATTCGACTTAAACTCTGTTAAGCTGGTGGCGAGCACCAGTTGGTCAGCAACTGTCGTTTCGCAATCACGGGGGATGTCGAATTAACGTCTATTCTGGGCGTTGGCAGGTGGCCGTGTGTCCGCACCGGGCTCTAGGTAATGGTTTGTGGTTGTGGTTGTTGTTGTTGCTGTTCCTCCGGCTGTGGCTGTGGCTGTGGCTGTGACTGCGGTGGTGGTCGTGGTCGTGGTGCTGGCGGTGACAGCAGTGGCGATGGTGGTTGGTTGGTTGGGTGGCTGGCTGGCTGGCTGGTTGGTTGTGGTTGTTGCTGGTTACTGTTGATTGTTTTGGGTTGTCGTTGGTCGTTGCTGCTGCTGCTTCTGCTGAGGCGCTGCTGCTGGTGCAATGTGACACAAGACTTGAGTTGCATGGTGAACAATACAGAGAAACCTCGTTTGCGTTGACAGGTAACGGAGCTTTCCGCACAACCATGGTTCGGCACTTGGGCCTACAGCTGTCTGGCTGCGGGAGGAGATGTGCAGGCCAAAGGAAAGGGTGATGCAGGACAGGGTCGGAAAACAGTTGCGTGGTTGCAGGGCGTTGGTGATGTGTCATGTCCGACGAATACATAAACACCTCTACCATCCCAGGCTCAACCTAATTAGGCATGATTCTCAGGCAACCCTGCAGGCAAAGCCAAGGGCATGGATGCAGGTTACAAGGGTGGAACTATGGGCGGCTACAATGGCTACAAGGGTGGTGGTTGTGCATATGGCTACGCCACCGATGCTTATCAAAAGGGCAAAAGCAAAAGAGACTCCTTTGACGGCGGCTTTTCAGGCAAAGGTGGAAGAGATTATCCTACACACGGAACTGGAGCTGCAGCAACGCAGGAGAACATAGACATGCTATCGACAGCTGTTTCGGCCATGCCTCCCAGTCTGGCTAGCGCCGGCGACAGATCGCAGGTCCTGCAATTCAATTGCTCAGCAAGTTACGTCAGCGCGCTTATCGGCAAGGCTGGTATGGGCACCAAGCAAATCGCGATTACAACAGATACGAAGATCATGATTCGGGAGATCGATGGCAACCAAGTCGAAAAGACCGTCGTGATAAAGGGAAATGCGGTCAATGTTGCATCAGCGCCTTCATCTCAATTAGGGCATTGCCTGCCAGCACTGTGGAACCGGGTCTGAAGCTGGTTGGTAGCCGAGGGTTACCGGGTAGACGGCTAGCTTATGTGCTGTGAGGCCAAATTGAGTAAGTTCGAGGTAGAGCAATTGGTCCTTGAGCATCGTGGAGGGTCCAACCCTGGCGTTCCTGCCATCTGTCGCAAGGCATACCTGCACGTTGCCAGCCGACTCTCAAACATCGCGCAGACCCTCGAAAGTAGAGAGCCTGGTGCAGATGATGCCAATGCCATCTTGGCCGGCTTGTCGTAACTGTTGGCACCTTAGCTGATTGAAAGCCAACCTCACTTGCAAAGTCCGCGCAGCGGCAGAGCTTTGCAACACACGTTCGAACGATGCAGACGGCGGAAGTAGTACTTTCTAAAAGCTGAGCTTGCATTGTCTATGCTGGAATGTGTAAAGCAGCGGTGAGCCCTTCCATTGAGGAAGTGTTGCCACGCGACACGCGTGCCTGTGCGCTTTGCCCCGGTATCAGCCCAAGCGACTTTCGCTTCAGTGTCCTGCCAGCCGGTGTCTCGCAGCACAAGCGTGTGGATAGTTTCGTTGGGATTGTGAAGGCTTGCTTTGAATCCGAGGTGATGGTTGGCCTGCTGCACACTTGCTATGCACATTGATTGCATCACTCTAAGAGGCGGCCCAGCCATTGAAGTGGCTGGCTGCCCCCATGCTATGCGGCTGCAATGCAAGGGCAGCTACTCCGTGCAAAATGATTTAAGCATATGGTGCCGACATATGTTGCAAACGTCCACGCTTCCACCTTTGATCCAGGCTTTCCCACCACACATAGCGTTGCCCTTAGACTAAGGTTCTAAAGTAGGTAGTTCAAGATGATTCTGGTCAGTATCACGTTTGGTGTAAAGCTTGACTGTAGTTACAATCAACCTGATCGCTCATGCTCATTCATGCTGTTTATTGAATTCTGCGGGCCACAGCCTGGACGTGGATGCGGCTTCTGCAAGCAGAACTGCTTTGCAATTCAGAGGAGACATGACCGTTGTGGCTAGCGTGTCACACCAGCTTATCGCGGACTACATCAAGAACCTGAGGATTTCAGGTATCATGAGGAAAAAAAGATTCTGACTGTTCACATGTTTGCATCGCGTTGCAGGGCCAAGGTCTTAATTGTCACTCACTGCAACAGCCCACGGTGGCATCAAAGCATTCCATGCTGCTTCCTTCGAAACATTCTGCTGTCAAGCCCTCCTTGGCATAAAAGTGCAAGCGCATGGAGAGTGATAGGTAGTTGTGCTCATGGCACCGGTAGCGACAATTTTCGGAAACCCGATGGCATTTGCGATTCACAATAATGTAGCCCTGCAAGTGCAAGCCCGAAGCTGAGCTGTCGCAGGAGGACGGAATCGGAACATGTTGATGTCTGCTCCGTTCCGTCAGTGGCTTCCCGAGCCCGAGGACGATTGAAAGCCTTCACAGCCAGTACTTCGCAATCATCGGGCCAAGAACCATTCGCGAGCGCTTGCATCAGGCTTGTGGGATGGCTTTGGCCCCTGGCTTTTCGAGCTGCATGATTTCTTTCCGTCCGGTCTCACCAGGATACAGTCTGCATGCTACGATGCGATGCTGTGAAGCACTGTACGAAAGCAACGTTTTGATTGCCACGCCTGATCAAGCTGAAGAGGCCCAGTCAACGCGTAAATGCGGCATTCTGGTTGGTACGGACACAGTCGCACGGCGACGTTGGAAATTTATGTTTTGTATGGTCTTAGGACGTGACGAGACTCGACCTGCAGTGGGGCACAGTGAGGCTACGGATGCTCGAACCAGCACCAGACTGATAGTCGAGTGCCGTCGCACGAGACGCTGGCAGACTGCGATTGGATTGCTGCAGGCCGTGCTGAACCGTGGCTTGGCTTTTTGGTCAGCGCAGATCAGAGGTCTCTCCCACCCGTTTCCCAGGTCAGCTGGAAACGTCTGTTCACGTACATAGTGCGATCGTGAGCGCATGCGAGCATGCTACATGGTGGCATCACGCTCTTCAGCATTTCGTCTCAACACGGAGGCAGGGTGCTGGGCTTGCGCTGAAGCTTTGCTGTGGCGCCAGTTCAACGAAGCGTGTCACATGTTAGCATGTTTGGATCGTACGATTCTTCCGGAAACTTGTGCTTGTAGCATCTGGTCCCTTTGCAGACAATGGCAATTGTATGCTGTCCAGGGCTCATGAGCTGCAGCTTGACGCCATCATCTTCAGCGCGGCCATTTCTGCCTGTGGGAAGGGTTCTTTGTGGCTATCGGCACTAGCCATGTTGGCATCGATGACGAAGCAGCATCTCCTAGCCAATCAGGCACGGTAGTGCGCGGCCTGGGCAGCCTCAGCCACTTTAGTCATCTCGAAGTCTGCGGCTGTGCACAGGTGACCTATGGTGCCCTCGCCGCAGCCTGCGCAAAAGCGGCAACCTGGAGAGCAGCCACTGCCATCCTGCAGCATGGTTTACAGCAAGATCAGACAGGCACGACATCGCACAGCCAGGGTCCCGATTAGTGCAAGGACCCTTGGTCTGGCAAACACTTCAGGCCTCATCATCAACAGTTCTGTGCTGAGTGCCTGCGAGAAGTCCACGGCGTGGCTGGCAGCTGTTAGCCTGATCCGGTCACTCGCTGCCAGCACTCGGTTAGCCTCTCGGCAGACCTTATTACCGAACTTTGGAAAGTGTAGTGTCGTGCTGCGATTCTGTGACATCTTGAGCTGCGTCCGTCGCCTGCATTGAGGACATGATTGCCTTCAGTGCTACAATTTCATGCAGTGAAAAAGCTGGACGATGGCTCCAAGCTGTGAACAGCTTGTCCAGGTGCCTTCCAGTACTTGAAGTAGCCTGTGGCGTGCATGTTGTAGATCTTTGTGCACGTGAGAGCTTTAGGTTGTTGTTGAGTGGTATTTCTCCGAGCGTCGTAACGATGAATGCCTTGGTCAGCGCCTGCGAGTGGAATGGTCAATGGGAGCGGGCTTTGGTGAAGCTCACTTTGCTAAGAAGGCGGCCAAGCAAGAAGTCCAGCGCTTGGATGACTGATGAGTCATGATCAAGTCCTTGCCTGTGGGAGGCTACTTCAGCCAGATGTCGTGAGCTACACAGCCGCCACAGCAGCGTGTGGTGCAAGCGGCAAGTGGCTAGATGCCATGCTGCTGTGGGCAGCCATGAGTTCTGGTGGAGTGATCCCGAACATAGTCATGCGCAATTCGCTGATCAGTGCACCCAGGTTGGCATATGTTGGCATAAGGGACGTTTGGCATAAGATGAGACTGAATCTGGCTGACTGTGCACGCTAGGAGGTGCCGTGTCAAGAACATATCGTGCATTCGTGCTGAAAAAGGTATGCGAAGAGTCTGGGCAATGGGAGATGGCATTGCACGTGATCGAGCGCAAAACGCCGCTTCGGGCCTACACGACTGTAACCATCAACTCGGGCATCAGCGCTTGCACCCGAGGCTGAGAAGAGAGCTTCCCATGGTTTGAACATGACGCCCGCAAAAAAATGACGTCAGAATGGAGCAGCAGCACAGGCGTAGTGAACCTCCTGGCAGGAATTCGATGGAATCAAGCTCTGCATCTTTTTGGGTCCCTCTTGCAGCGGCACCAGCAACTGCAGCCAACCATTGTAAGCTTCTTGCCCGCGCATCCGAGCAGCAGAGTTGAAGCTCCACTGTTATTTTGGCGATGGCCGCAAGGCTTCAACTCGGTGCTCGATGCCTGCCGTGCCCGTGGGTGGCTTGAAGTTCTTGCGATCATGGGCATCCTGCGGAGGCCTTGGAGAAATTTTGAGACTTCCTCTAACGTCAAGTCGACACGAGGCGCTCTTTGCTGCCAGATGCTCTCTCTCTAAATGTGGCAGCTGCGGCTCTGGAGCAGCAAGCTTGCTGGGCCCACCGCTTAAATGCCGCCGAAATTAAAGCGAGCCGAGCCAAAGATATCCTTTCCTTCGAGGTCGGTGCATCATTGCTTCTCGCAGAAGCGCAGAACCGGGATGATCGGCTGTTGGGCCCAGAGGTTTGCCAGGCATGTTCTCGGCTGGATTGGTCATGGAAGGGTTTGGTAGGGTTGGAATCTACTACGGATCTGGCTTAGTTCCTCCCAACAGGCCTCGCTCACGGGCGGCATCTCTTGAAAGCCGTGTGTGGACTCGTTGGCTCCAACACATGAAGCAGTTTCTCTCGTCTCCGGCCACCGGCCAGCAGCAGCCGAGCGACACTTTCAGCTGTTGTTCCCCGTGTGGGGTGTGCCCAAAGTCACGGGTCGTGTTGATTGTGCACGTTTCGTGCTTGTCTTTGCTGACTTCTTACAGCTGCAGCTGTGCAGTGAGTTGTCAAGCAAGTGCTATTGGTCGGTTTGAACGCGGCGCAGACGGGACAGCGACGCACGAATCCATGTTGCAGAATCAACTGCAGCAGCATTGCGTCTGAAACTTAGAGACTTTGAGTCGTCCGTCGGTCGAAACGGTTTCAGGGGCGCTGCTAGCTGTAGCTTTCCTTTCTCTCTCGGAGGTTCCAGGTCTGACCACGTTTCATCTCGAGGTGAAATCAGTCTATTTTCGCAAGTGCTGTATCAGTCCACTCACCAATTTGTGCTGGGACCTGCTGTGCTTGGTCTCGCTTGGCCCTTCACGTCCAGTCGCGGCTAGCTTTACACGAACACTTATTGCCCTTCCAGATCGTGTAGTGGGGAGGGTCACGATGAGGTACTTGTAGCTCCCAGCTCTGAAACTGCAATTGCGCTTCGCTCTTGTTGTTCATAACTTCGCATCACTCCACGTCAGAAGGCAGTAAACATTCCTTGGAGAGGCATGTCGGTACCAAGATTGGACTGGAAGCTTTGCCGGTGGATGGATTCACCAGAACAGTAGGAATCATGCAGAGGGAAATCACAAGTTCTCGGGTGTTCTCAGACAAAGTACTGAAAGTACAGAGGGGCTTGAACATCTCATGTCAGCGCCCACTCATGCTTTTTGCCGGAAGAGGCGACGGAGACTGTTTGAAAGAATTCCAGATCGCAGACTTTCCTAAGCTACCATTTCTTCAGGAGGGTGAACTCTGAATGCATCCAGAGCTCCAATAGGGTGGCTATTGGGATTATTTGTAGTATGGGGTACAGGCATTGCAGACGTGGATGAACGAGACGAGAGAAAGGACACTGAGCGTGTTGCGGCCAGGCGGCAACCGTGAGTGCAGCCGTTGATGCTTGCGAGAGGCGGCCCTGCTTCTTGTGATTTTGTTAGTTATGACCAGCTGACTATCTGTTGGTCTTGGAAGTCCTGCGACTGCCATCATGCCAGGCACGGGTGCACATTTCGGGCCACAGGATTGCTCCGTGAAGTGGGATGCAGCACGCCGAGCAGTCTGAGAGATGTAATGCACGTGGTGCAAAAGAACATGCCCCTGCATCTGCAGAAATGATTAGACATGCCAATATGGATCCTGTGTTGACTGGGGCTGGTCAGCGCGTGGCAAGAGGTGCCACTACAGGAGGGTGCTACTATGCGTGGCTTCCGCGAGCTGTAGCTGATGCCATGACACCTCGCCTGAGCTTCCTGGCCGCCTTCTTGCGAGTTGTCGGCGGCCGGACTCTGCCAGCAAAGAACGAGCTGGCGAATGCGTGCCCTGGAAGGTACTCGTATGACTTGCTGAAGGTTGTGGCTGTATTGGCACCTGCTGGAAGCATAGCCTCTTTTTGCAATCAATTTGTCTGTTGCAAGGATGTCGCAGGTGAAGTGGGCTTTTGTTTCAGGTGCTACTTCACGTACCGTGTCGGATATGTGATTTGCGACACCAGCTTGGGCCCAGCTGAAGCCCAGAAAGAGATGGAGGCGCACTGCTTGAGTTATCTTGAGTTGCGATACCAGCGTTCACTGATGTTCACTGTTTGCGATCGGATGTCGTCAGGCTGGTCGCTGCAACGAAGATTTCCGGTTGATGGGCTCTGACTTTCAGCGATTGGTGACCAGCCACTATGTCGAAGGTGGCGATTGTACGAAAGTCGAGGTGCTGAGCACATCAAACGCATGTCTCGGTTTGAGATGTTCAGGAGCACGGCCCCCGTTCGAAGAGGCCATGTGGCTTCTGACCTCGCCCGACCACTTCCAGAGCCGCACGCTGTCAGAATGCCCGCCTATGCAGATCTTGGCAACTTTGGCTTGGATAGTGCTTTGATGGATACAGTATTGCTTGAGCCATGCGTCGGGACAGTTCTCAGGCACGATACTTCGACATGAACTGCAGAGAATTGTTGAACACTGCAACGGTTCAAAGTGATGCACCGACCCTCCCACATCAGTTGATGATGGCTGATGCGCCCGCGCATGTTTGCTGCGCGCGCGTCGGGGTGTTGCCTTCTCCGAAAACGACCGGAGTAGAGGGGATTCCTCAGTGCTTACTTGTCAGGTTCAAACACACACAAACTTCAATGTGTAGCCGGAGACTCGTTCTCTGCAAATTCTTTGACCACGACATGGTGTTGCAGGGGCTGAGCAGACACTCGAACATGCCAGAAAGAGGTGTTGTTTGCAGTGCGACGTTTCGCGGAAGTCTTGAACCCTGAGAATGAAATTCGGCTTTCGCTTGCTTCCGCCGAAAAACGCTGAAATCATTCTGCATTCCGGGATGTCAGGGTAGTCTTATCCAGTGTCTCATCCGGGAAACCTCAACTGGTTTGAACATATCTGAACTGTTTCCATATCGGCAAGTGCCGGATTCAATATCTCGTCCGCCTCCCCCGAATTCGTCGAGTGTTCATATCTTCAGGGTCGCGTATCATGGTTTAAGTAGCAGTAGCAGTACAAACAGCGTCCAGCAAAACTGAGGCAAATTTCTTGTACGCGGAGGCGTTGCTGTTCATGGATGGTTCATCGAGGTTCGGTGAATCTGCTGCCTTGGTGGCGCATGCCATGTCACAGCTGCGAGATGTACAGCATGAAGTTTTGGAAGCACTGGGGCGCACGTGGCCACTGGACCTTGCAAAGCGAAAGTTTGAGGACACACCACAACAAAATGACAGGTTTTTGAATGGTTCGCCATGAGTTCGCAAGGTATTCGAGGGATGCCTTAATAGGACCTTCGGATCGAAAGATTGCATCTATCCTTGATATGAGGGACACGCTGCCGATTAAGTTCATGTCGACGCGCGATGCTATGAACTACGTGTTTGCTTTCGTCGCATCTTCCGATCCTGAATAGATTTGATTGGCGCCGCCAGACAGGACAATCAGCTTGCTTGGGCATTTACCGGCCTATTCAGACAGGCAGTCCCAGTCACGAGTGATGAACTACCCATCCTATCAACTACTGCTACCATTACTGCTGCTGCTGCTGCTGCTGCACTACTACTACTACCACTACTACTACTACTACTACTACTACTACTACTACCACCACCACCACCACCACGACGACGACGACGACTATTACAAAAACTAGGGTCCATTCACTTCGTTTGCCGCGCCAACGGCGCTGCAAACGAGTGCTTAGGGATGTTCTTCAGAGCAACATACAGAGGGTGGTCATCTTAAAACTGCGCTTTTGCTTGGGTTTTAAGCACATTTCGGGTCTTTGCAGGAATATATGAAGAAGTGTGAATGTTTGGTTTGCTTTGGAAGAGAGGTTGTTTTCTGCGTCGTTGTTTTAACGTTTTTTTTTGAAATCGGTAAAAACTTAGAGTTTTTGCTGTTCCGTGCTTACCGAAATGCGGCCTTTTAGGGCGGCAGCACCCACGACGTGTCTTGGAACGCCTGGTTCGGCGCAAGCGAATCCTCCACATCAGTTGCGTAGATGCAGAAGGTTCGCAAAACGGCTTCGAAGCTCGGTGCTGTCTGCACAAACATAGAGCTTAAGGCATCTATGCGGGGTCATTGCAGTGGTGCTTTGTTAAAAAAAAAGCGGTTTTAGGGATTAGGGTTTAGATGGTCGTTCGCTGCGCAGTGACTCTGGCTCTCAACCTTGATATATATATATATATATGAATTATATGGCATGAAGACGTCATCATCCCCCCCAACCCCCCAACCCCCACCCATAAGCAGGAAACCCTGAAATAGTAAACCCTGAGCGGCAGCTGCAGCAGCAGTAGAAAACCCGTAGTGGCGCGAGTAGGACAAGCAGTAGACGATGGCGACATCATCAATGAGCACATCATCATGCGGATGTATGGCATCAAGACGTCATCGTCCCCCCGACCCTCCCCCCCCCCAACCCCACCCCCAAAGTGCGGCAAACGAGGGTAAGAGAGCCTACTACTACTACTACTACTACTACTACTACTAACTACTAACTACTACTACTACTACTACTACTACTACTACACTAGTACCAGTGCTTGTACTACTACTACTACTACTACTACTACTACTACTACTCCTGCTGCTACTACTACTACTACTACTACTACCACTACTACTACTACTATGGCATTGCTGATCGTATTACTACTGCTGCTGCTGCTGCTACTACCACTACCGCAGCCACCACTACGACGAGTACTACTACGGAAGAAACCCATTCCACCGCCGCCACTACAGGACCACCACGACGACGACTAGCACTACGATTACTACTTGTTGCTACCGCTGAAACTTTTTCGACGACGACTGCTGCTAGTACAGCCACATGCAGTTGCTAATCGATAATGGTCTTCCTCCTGTTTCAGTTTACATCCCTAGCGAGATTTTACGTTAAGGCGGGTTTGAGAAAGAAGGGTCAAGACCAGATGGGGTGTGCTGCATTGTCCGGCAGGAACATTTTCTTTCTGCAGAAGAGGCCCGGCGACAAGAAGCCCGTTCCAATGGCCTTCAGGCAAGCATCGTCATGTGCCGATGTGGCCTTCAAAGTCTGACTTGGCTGACTGAGCTCTTTCCTGAGAATGCCGCTGTGCAAATATTCCTTTATGACACTTGTGGTCCTTCTCAGAAGTCTTGGGGCCTTCCAGAGGTATTGTCTGCAGCCGACTTCAAACAGAAATGTGCACGCGAACCCGATGTTGTTGAAGCGAAAGACGTGACCGACTGCCCGGTTGAACTGATCCTGCAGCATTTGCTGAAGTATGGCTCCAACGAGGCAGCATTCCTACTCTTCTTGCCATCGCTTCCACCAGTGGAGTACGAACAGCAGCTGTACACATTGGTCGTGAGGAGCTTGGCCCGGAGGATGCTTCGTGCGGACTTCGTTCAGCTTGGGCATACACGGTCATCGCCAAAAGCATTGAACTCCTGCCAAAGAGCTGTTTTGTCAGAAGCTGGCATCCATGGCCACGTAAGCGGGTATGAATCACCCCGGTTTGTTGTCAGTGCGGAACGCATCTCAGCGTCGCTGCCACGTGCTCGTGTAGTGTTGCTTGCCTTGGAGACTGCCACTGAATGTACAGGGCAAGCGTGGGAAGACATTATGCGTGGCTTGTGGCATACTGTCTTTGGAGAGGCTGCACTGCTCCCAACTCGTGCTGACAATGTGCAAATTCCTATTTTTTTGCGCGTGCTTGATGGCCCCAGCGGGTTTGCCAAGACCAGGATGCCAAAGTCGTCTGATTATTTGGATTGGGCAGCCACCGCCTTGCTTGAGACTTGAGCAGTGCGCAGAGGGCGTTTAATTATGGTCATGTACATGAACTGTGGCCACCACCTCGACCTTGAGCACAGACTTCCGTGGTCCTGCATCGTGCGGTGGCAATCTGACTCCGGTGGGTACTGATGGCAGATGGCAGATGACGATTACTGTACAGGCCCTTCGCCAAATCCGCTTGGCGACCGTCTTTGACAGTTGGCCTCTGAAGCCGGTGACGGCTTTTTCATTCGGCTTCAGGTGCCGGGCCTGAGTGAGATGTTGGATGCGGAAGCTTCCCTCGAGCTGAATCGCCCGACTACTCGGTGTCTTGAGCTTGCCATCGGCTGAAAGGGCACGCCCCCACGGTGTACAGCCCTTTGCTCAGACTGGCAGAAAAGGAAGGGATATCAAGGTAAGAGACCCCTTCGTAACGTTCCCCTCAATACTCAGTCAAAAACTGCAGTTGAATCTCTTGCTTTCCGGATCGCAGGAAGACTCGTCGGGCCGGCCGGGGACGGGGCAACGAGCAACCGTTATTGATGCGTGAATGACTCGTACGTGCTGTCGGTTCACGGCAGACATGTTCAATGGAACCAAGACATCTGCGCTACAACCACCCAGCCTGTCCAGCGACAGCGGCCGTTGTCTTGTTGTCTAGAGTGAAAATTATCATGAACATGCGGAGCCTGTAAGTTTGCTTGGGTTAAGTTTAAAGGTGCTCGGCAACTGGGTTTCTTTCTGTTCTAGCATGTGGTAGCTCATATTATGGTAACGATGCTGGTAGCCATGGGTCATGGTCTTGGCGATAGCCTCCGGATGTCTATTGCTAGATGTTTGAGTCGATGTTGGTCTTCAGGTCTTCAAACCTTCATCCTTCGGTTTTCGGCTTGTTGCTGTGAGCCTGTAGACTCCTTCTTCTCGTAAGGGCATCCAGCTCATCGTTCATGTCAGCGGGATGCTGGAATCATATTTAGCGACTTCTACATGCTTATATACGGGGCTTTTTCATCACGGGCATATCCGACTACCGGAAGATCGTTCGACCTCGACAGTTTCCAGCAGTGCCTGCCAAACAAGAGGAGGGTATGCCTGCATTGTCGATTTGGAGCATGTTGGCATGAGGAGAGCTTCAAGTTCTCCACGGGCGCACAGGTCGCAGCTGATTCGCAGACGGGAATTGTTCATGTGTGCCGTAGTAAACGCTTGAAGCGGGGCTTAGCGCTCGAAGTCGAGTCCCCCTGCACATGAGAGAAGCTCAGTAGATCAGCAGTTGAACCCCACAGTCTGCCCATAGTGGATCCCTGTCGTCTGCAGCCCATTGGCATTCAAAGGCACGAACAGCCGGGAAGACATGGCACGGTTAGGCGAGTGGCTATTGTAGATCTGCAAGGCCCAAACGGTTGAGATCAAATAGTAGTTTCATTCCATTTTTCAAAGCCATGGCACGCCAGAAGGTCCATATGCTGAGTGTGTCCCATGGGGTCGTGGCAAAGCTGTTGCAGGTTCGTTAGCACTTGCGAAGGCTTCTTTCCACTTTGTGTTTTGCCACGGGCGCAGCAAGGTGGCCAAACCCGGGCAATGTGCACGAACTCTGCCTTCTTGTAGATCCACTCGCATCTCATACCTGAGGCCAGCCTAGGGTTTAACTACGGCGCCAAGGCCACACCCATGATCTGGTGGAGCGGCAAAGTGGAGCAGGACCCGTAGCTTCGATTTCGAGCCTTGCAACAGCTTGCAGTGGTTTGCATCTGACTGGGGCGGCAGTGTTTGCCAAATCCAGCGGCCGACGCGTCCGAACGAAGTGCCTCGTAGCGTTGTGGCAGCAGGTCAAAACGCGGAGGCTTTAACAGGGCCTGGGCTGCTGTGCGACAAAGCTGGTAGCAAAAGCTGCTGTTGAACTTCTGCACCCTATCACATCATCGGAAGTCCGAGTCTAATATGAACCAAATTAGAATCTGCGCGATATCGGATTGGGCCGACACTCGGAATTTTTTTTGGACAGTGTCTTTTCCTGAGTCTGGACGACGGCTGAGACCAGGACAGCTACAACAAATTTAAGAGGTCATGGGCTAGACCCGCGCTCGTCGAAAATGCTCAGAAGGAAACATGCCAAGTCCGAAAGCCTCAGGGCACTGCTAGGCAAGACACATGTCCGGTGATCCACCACATAGTTCGATGCAGTGATGAAGCAACCAGAAGAGAAAGCCTGTGATCTCACTGCTTGACTTCTCAAGCCAAGGTTGTCATGCATATTTCAAAGCATTCCATCGCGTGCCGATCTTCCTCGCCGATGCAGGCCAACACTTCACGTTTGCTGATCGCTGCGCATGGCGGGTAAGAGACCGCGGCCCATCCACAGAAACGGAAGCCTTATCAACCAAACCACTGGGCCACAGAGCATCTCAGTGCACCAGTCAATAGGCGAAGATGGACTCTCTGTATGAATTAGGTAAACTATCGTCAAGGACAAAAGCGGAGAGGGGCAGGACGTAAGCCTGGGTAGGCTTCGAGCCAAGCTCTCCTGAAGGATGCATGGTTCCGACTAAGCATGCATCTTACGCAGTGGTAGCGTTGCTCCATGAGGGGTCGGCTAGAACAGCAAGGCAGCATCCTCATCTCATGGCAGCCGGAAGATTCCGGCAATTTGGAGTCGGGCTTCGTGCGCAGAACACTTGATGACCGCAGTTCGTGTGCCCCACGGGAGCATTTCCTCTTTCCAAACCATCCGAGTCACTTCTTCATCAGATGGGGTTGGGACGTCAGGGCCGGCCAGTTTCTTTGTAGCGCCTTGGACGAGAGCCGGCTACAAGTTGCTGCATAGCACCAGGTCCGCCTGGCAATCGCTGCCACGTGCGAGCCCCATCCTCACCTTCTAGCCAGGCCCACTGCAGCTTGTCAGTTGGGCAAGCCATCGCGGCAGTCTCCACAAGCCGTGGAAAGGGTTTCGTGGGAGGAGGCGGCCGCTGCAACACAAGGTGCATGACAGTGGACTTGGAACGAATGCTCGCAAGGGTGGAGCGGATGAACCTGTTCTGGAGTCCACGGGCATGTTTGCTGATCCGGGGGCTCTTCAATTTGCACCATGACTGTGCAGCATGTATTCCCCCCAACGCGAAATGGCATAAGATCTTCAGCAGCCATCCGTCCTTTGCAGTGGTGATGCAGACCGCGTGCGATATTGAGTAATTATTAATTTGGCTTTCCACATCCGTCAGCAGTGGGGGACCGGCACCATCCGCCACGCAGTCAGCCAGCAGTCCACAGCGCATGGAGGACGTTTGCAATCGTTTGCAACAAGCAACACAGGCTGGGGTGGGAAGTTGAGCACCAGCTTGGGACAGCGCGTTGGGCTCAGAAGACCAAGATCCAGTCCTACCAGTAGATGTTTGACTGCGAGCACTGTGAGGGCCGAAGTTCTGGGAGATGTTCCGGACGAAGATCTGAAGTTCTGGTTATCCTTTTACAGGCGAGCTTGCAAGCAGGTTGCTGGTTCTTAACCTAGTGGCATGCATCAAGGCTTTGCTGCTCACCATGCGGCCCTGAAGAGGGCCTGCCCGAAAAAAGGCTCAGGTCAATGGCAGAATCCCAAGTATCGAACGCTTGCTGTGTTTGAGGATTGAGGATAAAACCGTGTTCGTGCACTTTTCCACACAGCCCTCCGGGCAAGGTGTGAGAGGAGCTTTACAGTTGAGCGACAGGAGGTCCTGCCATTCCTGAGAGCACGTGACTCGTTGCATGGCTGCCACACGACCACGACCGTGAGTACGAGCTCCAACGCACGGCTTGCAGGTCCTTCTTAAGCTCCTCTGTATACCCGGTCTTCGCACGGTCGATTCTTTTCTGAAGCCCAGCCTCGTAGCGTCTTAGCTGCCTCATAGCTCCACCTTTGAAGTGCTCGCTGGTTGTGGGCACCGCCTGTTGCTTCGTCGGCCCTGGCTCTGCAGCCAACGACCCCTGAAGGCTTCCGGTTTGGACAGCGTGAGCTCGAGGAGCTCAACCTGTGGCCTGCGGGCAACAGTCCCACCCGGAGGCTGCGAAGCAGTGAAAAGGCGGCTAGATAGAGACACTCATGCAGCATCTCAGTTGATCCTGCTCCTTTCAGACTCTTGAGTTGCTGCCGAAAGGTTGTTGTAAGACGTGCAGCTTGGACCGCCATGGACGGCCATCATAGTTAGTTACAGCACACCCGACATGTACCAGACTGGAAATGCTTCGGAGCTTAGGAGCTGGAGCACTCCAGCATAGAAGTCCCGTAGACTTTGTCTAGTGCTCAGTGTAATAATGAGTAGATATCTTTTCTGAGAAACCGCACCGTTTCCGCGGCATTCCTCAGGATTCGTCAGGTCTCACCATCTTCAGGTGTGCTTGTATTCGTGTAAGGCAATATGGGCCTGCGCAGGTTCGTGGTTGTGAGGGCCTGTTCGTTGCAAGCCCTTGCTACGTGCCGGTGGCCAATGCTCTTTGTGCTTACAACTGATTTATCCCCGGCCCGGCGTAACTGCCTGCAACGTCTGCGAGCTTGAGTTCTATGCAGATTCTTGCTTTCATCCCGTCTGAGGCGGAGGGCGATTGTGCCCATCGGGCATCGGAAGTTTTCAGAACTTTGTAGGATGTCGGAATCGGCTGTAGTTTCATGGCTGGTAGGACAGGACGTGACCCGAAGTTGTGCACATTCTACACATGGAGATGGATCCGAGATGATGGGTTGCTTTCGCACTGCTTGGGCAATCCACGGCTTGACCGCGAGCTGTACAGAGCCACCCGCACAAAGCTCCCAAGATGACTCTCAGCTTTTCGCCGATTTCTTTTTGCACATTATCGTACGTGCTGATGGCCTTCCGGCTTCTGCTCTCAACCGAAACCAGGTGCTGGGCTTCCGGACGTGTGTCTGCTGGGACTAGCGGCCGCTAGGGTCTAATGCGTTCCCGGGACGTTCAACCCGCATCCACAGCTACGCGGGTCTAGAGAGCAGAGTGCTCTCGCCTGCCAGCTTGGGGGACTCTCGCATGCTGTGATGCTATGTG